ATTAAATAATGGAGTTCAACTATTGTTTTCAGTTCAGTTTCACAATAAAAAAAAATTTTTTAAAAATCGATGGAAAAATTTACTAATAGCCATAATAACAGATCAATGATGGTTATTACCGTCGCTTAAATTTGGACTTTACTAATTATTATTATTAATTTGTACTGATTACCTTTTTTTTATCAATAATTAATAATAATTTAATGAAAGAGATTATTTCCGCTTGGTTATATTTAATGTAAAGGTGTGTATTGCAGTAAGCATGCTTATTGTACAAAATATATTTTTTTTTTCATATAGTCAAAAGTTAATGAATTTTCACGCAACAAATAATTTGTAAACGATACTAATTATTATATACGTGTAAGCATGCTCTAAAATATCTTGAAGATATATATGGGTGTTTATGTTAGTCAAACAAGTAAGTGTCATTGGTGTCTAAATATTGGAGTTATAAATTAATTATTTCGATTCGCAATACAAAAGCATAAAAATTAATAATTTGCACAGCATTACACAATTTCGTTCAATTCAATCAAAAACTATCAGTGTAATAAAACGAGTAAGCTAAAAAGTCATGTTTTACATGTTTATTGGGTTATTTGCTTTGTGGAAAAAAATACTTCGATAAATATTGGTCTCTCATTCACGCAAAACAATTATTAAATTTATGAGCTCAATGTACATGAAAGAATTTCTAAAAAAAAAAATTTTTTTAATGTATGTACACACACATAGTATTTAAATGTTGCTGTTGCTGTTGTTGTTGTTGAACCATATAAACATACAAAAAAAAGATACTCTGTTTCTAAAAAAAGCGTCTTTTTAAATCGTTAAACTCCATGGTTTAGAAAATTTTTTTTTTTTATTGAAATGTAAAACAATAGTTATAAAATTAAAATAGTAAAAACGTGTATGTACTTACGTGAAATAGCGTAACTATTCTATCTACTACAAAATCATAAGACTTGCGTCCGAAGGTAATAAAAAAATTTACATAATTTACACGTTCGGAGGAGATTCATTCAGATGCGATATTGTTGTTGTCGAACCATATAACTGTATGCCAATTGTTCATTGACGTATGGTTCAGAATAATATAAAAAGTCATTCCTGTGTGTTTTCGTAAAGTACACACGAGTACCTATAAAGATATTTATTAATGAATAAGGATTTCGTTTGTAATCTCGTTTTGGAAAACGTGCACTTCCAGAACTTACGTGTATTTTTCACTAAATTTCTACACATGACGTGCACGTATAAAAGAGAAAAAAAGGATCATCAAATCGTGAACTTACAATAATTGTTAAAAAGTCGTGCTAAACTTTGTAGGTGATGAAAAAAAAAAAAAAAAAAAAAAAAAATAGTATCAGTAAAAGTCGTTGTCTTAGGTATGTATATGTATAATAACGTGTGTTAGAAAAAGTTAATTTATTAAATCGAAGAAACTCCAGTCTGTTTCTCTTCCAAAGCTGTACTACAGTCGAATGGCATATCTTTCCACAGTACATAGATGAAATAAGTTGTGACAAAAATTTTTCCATCAATAAAAATTGCTATTCTATACTTACACATTTACATATTTTTATGCATCTACGAAAACAAAGAAAATGACGTATTTTGTACTTTGAGTATATTTGGTGAAAACTTTGAGTTGAAAATTGTCGATTTGTGACAGCTGTAAGAAAAAATATTGTGATGTTTAATTTTATTGTATTATTTCTTATACGTGTACTTATACTAGTCGATAGAAATAAAAGAAATAACGAAGGCGTGAAAAAAGAATTCTTCCTACGAAATAAATATATTTCAAACCGTATATCGATGATTTTCTTTAACCTTTCTATTGAAAAAAAAAAAAAAAAAAACTTCAAAGTCCTGATAAACTAAACATTTCTTTTCTTCAATAGCTTTTGCTAAGCTCAAGTCAAATGTATTAAAATTAATTAATGTTGCGAATGAAGAAAAAATAACAAATGTTGGTCTATCAAACTGTTCGATCACAAATTTATTTGAAGGAAATTTTTATTACGATGTATAATGAGCTTTGTGGTACATTGACGGATTATTTGGCAAAAGTAGTAAATGATGCACCAATCACATTCGATAAGTTGTGCCAGAACATTTTTCAGAACCACCAACTGAGAAAAAGACATTTTTTTTTTTCAACTCGGCACTACCAACGCCAAGGCGACAGTGTGGCAGATGCGGGGCTTCTCCTGATTGGCTCTGCCATTTTCCGGACCAACACGCACACAACCCTCATCAACCAATCACTGGGTCGGAATCTCACGGTCTGTGTCGTCTGTGAGCTTCATAAGAATCATAACATTCATAACCATAGAGTATAGAATTCTTATACCTCTCTATGACTGCCACACTGTCCCTAATAGGCGTAAGAGCCTCTTAGGTACTAAGAGGAGTTTGAAACCGGCACGAGCGTCGTCTGGTTTTTTTCGCGTCACAGTGCTTTTACCTTTCGAGAGGTGAATCTTTCGTTTTTTATACTAATTGCAAAGTCAAACAAATCACCAAAATGAGTAAAGCACATCCTCCAGAGCTGAAAAAGTGAGTAATTTTACATTTTCATCTATACAATCACAGGTACTTCCTTCTATACATAAAGGGACGTGTTTCTATATTCTTTGCCTCCAACAACAAAAACTAGGTTAAGTTTAACCTCCTTTTGCAAAATAATAACACGCTTTTTGTTATTCATAGGTATATGGACAAAAAACTGTCACGTGAGTATATTTTTTTATTTTCTAATCATTTGTAGATAAGTCCTTTAAAATACTCATTGATTATTAACCACTTTGTTGTTGTGCAGTAAAATTGAATGGTGGTCGGCACGTCATTGGTATTTTGCGAGGCTTCGACCCTTTCATGAATATGGTAGTGGATGAAAGCATAGAGGAATGCAAAGACGGCACTAAAAACAGCATCGGCATGGTGGTGAGTTTCTTTTACATAATCTGACTTAAATGTAAAATAACAGTAGTTTAGTCTATTGTACAGTCATGTCTAAAAAAACTGGTGGTTTTTCTTTTAGGTGATTCGGGGCAATAGTATTATCATGATAGAGGCACTAGATCGAATATGATTAGTTCCATCATTAATTATTGAAGCGTTTACGGGAGATTTAAGCTATGTGTACTATTTAATTTTAGTTAAACTTATTTTGGATCATTCCACTTGATTTGCTGCCAATCATAATATGATAATAAAACTCTATCTTTTTTTCAACTTAGAAAATTTCTTGTTCTTATTTATTACTTCGTTCGATTCTTGTTTCTGTGATTACAGTTACGTACTTATATTAGATTTTAGAAAAAATTATTCTTACTCTAATATTTGAGACTATTACCTCTTGTACAATGTTACTAGTCTGACATTTGAGTAATAGTAATCTTTCTTATTTTTATTGACAAAGATATATGAAAAATTATCTATTTATGTAAATAGATATATTTGCTCAATATATTATCACATTTGAATCTCCATTCATATATGTAGACATCGGAAAAACACTAGCTACAGAAAATATTTGTGCAATCAATGGTATTAATGGTGAATCAACTAAATGACCAGAAATCAATATCAACAATTCCAAAGAATGTCGATAACTTACAAGGCACTCATGTGTGTTCAAGCAATTTTTCTGATATAAATAAATAGTATTTTTTAAGTTAAAAACGGATATTTTAATTGAATGTTTCATCATACAATGAAGTGTTTTTTTATGTTTGTATAATGAAGGTGTTTTAGATTGTATTACATCATAGTATCACAAAATATTTAGTACAATATTAATCTTTTCAGGGGCAGTAACAACTAGTACTATTATCAAGGTGTAATCAGGTAAACCTCTCTAAAATGCCAAGGCTAAAAATATTTTTAAAAAAACAGTCTTATCCGAGGCTTCAAAGGCTCTAAAACTTGAGTACAAACATCATGAAATCATTTGAGATAAGGTATTTGTACTGAAGTTATGTTAAAATTTTTTATTTTTTTTTATTTTAATAAAATCAAATGTACGTTATTAGTATTATTTCATTGAATATTTAAACATCATGGAAAATAATATGCCCCTAAAAAAGGCTTGGAGCTATGAGGAGTTGTAGTATCCAAGTGTGTATTCTCGAATCAAAAGAAAACTACTTCACAAATCTTTTTCTTCTTTAGTCATCTTCATTGTTGATCCATTCAATCAGTTTTTTCCAAATTTAACACAATTCATTCCGCTTTCAACTTGTTTTTTCCGTCATTTTTGTAATAAAAACTTTTATAAATTATTTAAACTACATTCTAAACATTACCAGCAAATATCAACTCTATCACAGAGAATGTATATCAAATATTTTTTTTACATCTTTAAAATTGGATTCACGCAACACTTATAAAACGAAAAAAACTTTGTTTTATAAAACGTGTAACAACCAAGTTGGCATGCTTCCTCTCATTTATCCACGTCGATTATGTATTAGGTATATTAAAAAAGGATTATGACAGTTTCTTCTAAAAAAAAAACGTTAGCTGTTGCAAATACGATCAAATAGAAAAAGTAGAAAAAAATGTTCTTGTTATAGTCCTGCGATTTATTTTAATACTTGGTAATTGTGATCTTGAATGATGCTCGACAGTGCCGCCGATGCATTAAATGCTACTGTTTTGGCCGAACTCGTTTTCAATTGCTTATCATTCAACAGTGAAGCTCTTTCATCATTATTTTTAATTTGAACATAATGTTTCGCTTCAACAACGTCTAAAGTTTCCAAACAGTCACTAGAATTTCTCTCCAAACCGTTCACAATTTTCGTTTCGATAACAATCTTCGAGTCGCTTGCTTTATCTTCTACAAAATCTTCCGTGGCGTCATCATCGTCTTCCCTGACGGGCTCCACGTATTCTTCAAAACCTTCAAACTCGTTGCTCGTCTCAAGCTCTTCATCCTCAACTTTTTCATCATCTTCCTGTACAATAATTTCCTCTGTAACGTTTTCTTTTCCTTTAAATTTCTTACAATCACTAATTTCTGAAGATTCGTTTTGTTTTTGGTCAATACTGTTTCGAGATAAATTATCACTCGCCGAGACGATATCACCGCTTGGTAAATTCGATTTTCTCTTTTTACGCATAGACTCCGCTGTAAAATAAAAAAATAATCATTAAACATTCACAATATTATAGCAACAAACGGCTTAACGTACACTTGATCATACCTTTATTAAATTCCTTAAACCTAGACGGATTACAAGTTTTGCTGTGCTCAGTGTACTCGATCTTGCGATGAAACTTTTTACCACAGTCGAGACAGGGTGTAAACCTCATAGGGTAGTTGGCCACGTGTATCTGGTACTGTTTCTCGCTATCAAAGCGCCTCTCGCACACCTGGCACACAAAAAACTCTTTGGAACTTCGTCTTCGCGACGAGCTCCTCCTCGCCATCTCTTCTTGCTTGCCACTACTATTTTTATTATTATTATTACTCTCTGTCGCCGCTTCGTTCTTTGATAGGTCAAAATCTTTAATGGGATCATTTTCACCAGGTCGCAGAGTCATCTTTTCAAAGCCAGACTCGGAACGTCGTTTTGATATACCGTGTTCCAGCATCAGGTGCCTCATCATTTTCGATTTCGTTATCTGACGCTTGCACATCATACAAATCAGAAATCCGTGCTGTTTGCGCATGTGAAGGTCTAAACTACCGCAGGAATCAAAGTTTTCCTGGCAGTCGGTGCACTTTTGTCGTTCCTTGCTGTTGGGGCGCTTCAGGTGCTCTGCAAGCTTGCTCAAACTTGACAGTACTTTGTTACACATCTCGCATCTGACTTCGCCGGCTGTGTGCTCGGAGTTTTGGTGTTTCTTCATTGCGAACTTACTCACGAAGCCCCGACCGCACAGGCGACAGAAGAAATCGGGCTTGTTTTCGTGCTGCGCGATGTGCTGGCGACAGTACTCCAGTGACGTGAAGCATTTGGAACAGTGCGTGCAACGGAACCTAAGACGTTTCATTGGCTTCTTCGTGCCTTTTGCCTTTTTCAGCAGAGATACCTGTCTACGGTCGAAGTTGCTCGTACTGATGTCAATGGAGTTGTCGCTGTTGAGCAAAAGTTTTTTAGCTGGATGCTGGTTTGACTTCACCAGGCCAGAGAATTTGGGCGAAAGTGGTAGTGGTAGTAGTAAACTAGCTGTTGATCTTTCTTTCTCTCTTTCCATGCATGTTTCGTCTTTGGCGGGGGTTCCAAGCTCCTTATCCTCCTTGTTTCTTTTTTCGCTGTGAGCATTTTTCTCCTTTGGACTTTTCTCTTCCTCTGGGTTCTTCTTCGACTCGTTTTCATTGTTTTTACTCTCCTCGTTTTTCATTTTTATCTTCAAAACATTGGGTTTCTTTAACTCCGTTGCAACGGTTTTCTCTGGCGAATTATCTTCTGATCTATTTTCTGCACAGAACGTTGGTGAGTCCTGCTTTTCATGCAGTAAGGACGGTATGGATTTTAGCTGGAGTATCGGCACAACTTTATAAGTTTTGTCTGGTAGGCTCATGTCATTGATTTTCTTCAGCTCGGCTTTGACTTCATTCTCCGGATTCAATTCTAAAAGCCCAAAATATCAGTGTAACAAAGTTGTATGATCGACTTATTTAACAGTAATCACTTTATCGACAAATTGTGTGTCATCAATGTTACTTGAGTCGATTTCACCAAACTCCCAACACACACTCTAAATCACTTTCAGACCAACAACATTTCAGTTTGCTAACAAAAAATGTTCTCTAAACTTAAACTAAGGGTAAATTAAGTCTCTTTCTAGTACTTTTTAAAATATCAACTCAAATAACATTGATATTTAATCTAGGAGGTCAATTTCTGTCTCAAAAATAGATTATTATATATAATTGAAAAAAAAAGTTATGTTTGATATAAGAAGTTTATACCTGAAATATCTGTTGATTTAACATTGTTAACACTAGCCAGTTGTAACCCTGCATTAGCCATAAACTCCTCTTGAGCTGTGAAATTAGAGTTACGCAAATCAACGGACTTTTCCTTGATCGAAACGTTTGCAGATTTATGATTGATCGAGTTGCGATTCGACACATCGATCTGAGCTTGATCGACGCTCCGTGATCCTTCCACGCTGTTGTTACTATTAGTTTCGCTGTTGTGCTGCTTGCTCTCAAGTTCGATGCGCTGCTTGCAGGACTCTATGATATTACATATCTTTTCGCTGGTCATATCCTTATCGTCGGTTTTCTTCCTCCTCTTTCTCCTACGTCTCTTGATAATTTTCTGACTTTTGTGTTTGTTGGTGTTGTTGTTGTTGTTGTTACGATTAATGATGCTTTTATTGATGAAACCGTTGTTACCGATGTAAAAATCTTTGTGACTACTGCTGAGAGGCAACAAACACGGCTTGACAATCTTAGGCGGAAAAGGCGGCATCTTGGGTATGATGATCAGCTCGTCGTTTTTGGACAGAGCTTCCATGGTTTTTGTTAAACCCACCACTGGATCAAGATAGTCGCTGCTCCGCTTCGTCTTCGCCGCTTCGATCATTTGCAACTCCTTCTGGCGCATCCTATACTTGAACACCTCGGTAGGAGTGGCTGTGTTGTGTTGGTACACGTGTTTTCGCCGGCATTTTCTGTGGTCTAGTCTGATCTCATCGCCCAAAAAAGCGATACCACAGACGTCGCACAAGCTCGACTTCTCCCAACAATGCATCTCGACCGAAGTTACCTTGCCTTTATCGTGGTCTATGCTTAAAGCATCGCACTCGTTGTTCCCACAGTGCTTGTCCACCTTGGTATTGATATCCTCGCATTCGTCAATGTTGAAAGCCACTAACGGAGTAACCAGTCCATCCACATCTTTGAACTCTTCAACGTTTACAAGACATAACAAGCTCTCACAGGGCTCAAAGTGTCCGCATTCCTTTCGCTGGCGGACTACAGGCACGAGTAGGATCTCGGACTTGCCATTGTTCTTTGAGGGTAAAAGATTCTCCGTCTCGTTTGTCGACTCGATTACGCGAATGGACACCTCTGGCTTTGCTGATGATGCTGCTAGGCTGTCCTGCTGATGGTCTTTGTCGTGGGGTGCATTGCTGCTGCTACTGTTGGTCTTGTCGGCAGTGTAGGTTGAGCTGTTGCTGTTGTTGCAGTCGCTCGATCGGACCATTTTAAAGGCTGTAGGCGAATTCGTCCTTGGGATGGCATGGATGACGATGTTTGGCTGGTTGAAGAGTCGCCGCACCGACTCTGACTTTAGGACCTGTAAACAGTGGTCTTTTATATTGTTTGTTTAAGGAACGTGAGTATGTGACTTTGAGAACGGCAGTTGTTTCATCAGAGAATTATTTTATGTGTGACATTGGAAAAATACAGAAATCTAATATTTCATGTATTGTAATGGGTTGTTTACAATTTTTTTGTGCATAATTTTATCCTGTAAGTAATGATTGTGAAAAAAAGACAAACAATTGGCTAGTTTACAGAAACGATGCACGGATATTTAAAAAAAAAAAAACCAACCAACCGAGCAAAAAAGGAGATAGGTGATAAAATATATATAGTACGAGGCTGAGGCAAGTAACAGAAAAAATACAGGAAGTTTGTCTGAAAAAATCAATACTGTAACAGTGGATTTAGCTGGTAATTAAATTATGCTTTCTATTATTACTTCTCAAAAAGTGGCAACCTACATACTATACATGTTAGCTTTCATGCGAAACTTGTGTCTTAATAAATTTACGCAATCATTCGTTAAATAATCAATTTGTAAGAAACATAAAAAAAAAGAAAAAAAAAAAAAATTCGTCTCGATAAAAACAGACCGACACTGCCATCTATCACGCAATTACGCTGCATTGAATTATTAAAAAATTTGAGCATTTTTTTTTTATTTTTCTCTGTGCAAATTATTTAAAAACAAAATTTGACAAATAAACGCTATTATTTACAAGAGCTATAAATTAAATGGGAAAAAATTCAACCGTCACGACGTTGCGTATTTATGAAAAAAAGGGACACACGTTTCCGGAAAAAACATACGACCGAACAACAAAAAAAAAAGAGAGAAAAATTGCTCGATCTATACGCTTATTACATACATTATGCGTGATCTATACATCAAAATTGCGCGGATAAACCCGTTCGAACACTTCGAACAGTTCGAACAACCCGCTCGCGCACACACGCACACAACATAACAAAAATAACAAAACTCGTGTGCGCACTGCTCGAGTTCAACGGGCGAAAAAAATTAACAATCAAGCATTAAACACTAACATTGTGAGCATTTTACCAACCTGGTTGAGCTTGGGGCTTGCCGGAACAGTAGCAACAGCACCAGTTGGGCAGGCAATGGTCGGACTACTGTTACTGTTATTATGATTGTAAGAGGCCTGCTGGAGGCTATTCGCGACGGTGGCCATTATTAACATACCTAGCCGCCTTTCATTTGAAACACACTGCGCACTTGTACTTTGTATTTGAGCTACAATCTTTCGAACTCTCTGAAGCACCTACTCGTGCATGCAGAGTGACCGTAAAATATGTTCTTCGCGTGAATACTGACACTCGAGAAGGAACAAGTTTTGTTCACTAGCACCATAGTTATTACTACTTATACTGATGACGGTTCACCCGAGAAGAAATCGCCGACTTTAATGAACACTTAAGTACACACGTATATACACTTACTTATTTTAATTACATAAATATCTCTTTCTCTCTCACGTTCAGTCGAGCGAGTGTTAATTACTCAAGTAAAAATAAATATCACAAACAGTTCGATTGTGTAACAGGAAGTAAAGTAATTATACCCACTGTAGAACAGAAAAAGCACTGAATAATGAATGCACCTATCTACTTAGATATTCTGGCCACGAGGCCCCACTGATTAAAAAAAAAAAAAAAAAAAAAAAAAAGAAAGTTGACAGCCAACATAAAAAATGTACGTGTATTATTTTAAAGAGCTATAGGTTAGGTCATGACAGAAAGTTGAAGATAGATATTGTCTGCGAGATTATGGTTTACGGCTCGTCCCTTCCCCGGAGAAGAGGACGAGGAGGACTATAAGGTACTCTCGCGGCCTCGCCGAGCCCTGTCAAAGAGTGCCCCTGCCACCTGCCCTCCTCCCTTCTCTTCCCCCGCGATACATTTAATATATATTATATATACATTTTATCCCTTCTCTCTCTCCAACCCACCCTCTGCTCTCTCGCGCTCGCGCGCACGCTGCTTCCTATACCTATATACATTGTACACATAATATACTAGCTGTTGCATACGTATATTTAATTGGTGATAGTGTGTGTGTGTGTGTGTGAGCTGCCCAGGTAAAAATCATTGTCTCTGCATCCAGATTTCTGATAGTAAGTGTAGTAGTTTATTATCACCGCGTATGTAAACCCGCAGCTGAATCGACAAAAACCTAATCTATAAGTATACTATTCGTCGTGCTACATAGATTAGGGTCTCGCTACATAAAGAGAGAGAGAGAAAGAGTGAGAAAATATACAACCGCGAGAGTATGAAAATCGTAAGCCGGGGGCAGTCGTCCTCTCTCTCTCCCTGACTTGTCCCCTCTCCCCCTGGGAGTAAACTCAAAAAGAGGGGAGGGCAGTCTCTCTCTCTCTCTCTCTGCAAACTGTATATTATATGTAATAAATATTCGCAATTGTGTATACATACAATATGTTGTATATGTTTGATAAAAAGAGAAAGAGAGAAATATGAAAAGTGCGCGGTGCGCGCCTCTCTCTCTCTCTCTCTACCTGCGGATGCGGGAGAAGGGAGATTTTTAATTTATTTATATACATTCTACACATAAGTATACGTGTTACTCGATTCCAAAAGCTTCTCTTCAGCCACAGTATTCATGAGGGTAGGGCTGGAAGCAATAAATATATATAAATACTGTAATTGTCGACAATTGATTTTGCGCCTATTTAATATTGTTTATTTTTTTTATTTTTTTCAATTGACCGCTAGTGTAACGTCAGATATCTTTTTTTTTTAGATGACAGAGAGTTATGGATCAGAAACCGAAAATCGTAAACATTACGATAGCTGGATCAACAGTGTTGATGGCAGACTACATACGTGAGTATAAGTGATCGACTGTGTTTTTTTTTTTTTTTTTTTTTTTTTTTAAGTAGTGTAAAAATCTCGAGAGATGATTGGATTTTCGTCGATATTCATTACAGTTTTCGCAACAAATCAGATTTTGTACATTAATGGGGTTGATCGTTTGAACGATTTCAAAAACAGCTATTTTTACGGCTTGAAACCGTTGATATTGAAAGATAAATACGACACGGATTATTTTAATCGTCAGCGCGAAGAGTTGAAGAAATTTTTGACCGAAAAAGTAGTGGAAAAGGTCACTCTTATACTTTTGGATCAAGAGACTAGAAGAATCTACGAAGAGTGGCATTTTGAAATTGATTATGACAAAGCGGAAACGTCAAAGGAAGTCTGGAATAACGAGGGGAGAGGCATATTTGCGGATGCGGAAGACGAGAGGATTATACAGAGGAAAATTCTCTCACTTTATCGTCAAATTTTAGGTAAACTTTTTTTTCCCATATGCACAACTTATACGTGGTATAAATCGTTGCCTATAAAAGAAGGAAATTTAGCCCATGCACATAGAGGTTTATTTATAATAATTTATTGATTTGTCGTACGCAGAATCTGTTAACGTTTTACCAATATTGGATTGTGATAACTGTGCTTTTGACATCGAGGCCAAAATTAAGGTAAAATTTTCGTTGGATATATATAAACAATGGACACTGCTAAGGACCCTCAAATTATTGTAAATATTTATTCTCAAGAATCTTTCTGTTTGATTGAATCTGAGCACGTAGGTTGGATGAACTATGCTGATAACTTCAGGCAATAATATATTATATACATGCTGTACAATTTTTTAAACATGAGATTTTTTTGTACGCAATTTAGTACTTACGTTTTAAAGAAAAAAAAAAAAATCATCATGGCGCCATACAAACAATTGTGTGATTATTTGATTTGTGTTTACTTTTCTATAATTTTTTTTAATCCTCTATTTTCAATTAAAAATGACCAACTTATAATTAATTTTGTTATTCGTTATTACATTTGGATGCATTGACATCGTATCATACGATTCGTATAATGGGTTGTCTCCATGGCACAAATACTTGGACTATCCATGAGTTCCAGTAACATACGCCCAAGTACAGTACACTGCATAAACAAGCAGACAGCCGCTTTCGATGCTATTCGTTTTAAGGTCCATTTTCATAGACGTTAGTTTTCATGATGTTTTCAGCGTCTTTTGGCTTCGTGACACAAACAACACGAAACAACAGTTGTTTTACATATACCAACAGAGGTGTTTTTTCAAGGAAAGTCAAAAGCAAACTACTTTACCAACAGTTGTTTTTTGTTACTTGATGCCCCTGATGGCAGATGCGGAAAACTATAACGTTCATGGAAATGCACCTTTATTTACCGGCCTGCACCAGCATGTTTTGTACGATTTGCCTGATCAGACCAAAGTCTGCTGAAGTTTCGAAGTTTATCGATCATTATTGACCTATACTTATTGAGTTATCAACTGTCAATAAAATTGAAAAAGAAATATGAGCGGTATTGCGCCAAATTTTAGGCGAGCAATCGAGTTCAAAAATGTTATTCACATCCACATGTTACTTGAAACAAATTTTTTTCTGGAGCTTCAGCAGTTCTACCCATGTTAGAGAATAACTTAGGTTTCGAAGTGACTGCAGGAGCAAGATTTGGATGTGTACTGGAAGGATGTAGCTGCTCTAAAAATAAGACTAAAAAGAAAAGGCTTCAAAAGACAAATCAAAAGTTAGATCTTAGATCTTTCTTTACATCTGTACATAAAATAAATACATTAGTTAGTTATCAAGATAGTTAAAAATTCAAGTTTGGTCATGAAACAAGTAAGTAATTTAAAGTCATCAAACTTTGAATACTATTGTAATGAATATTGATTCTAGCTAGTACTTAATTTTTTTTTATTTTTGTGTTTGGGAACACCAAAAGTAATCTCTTTTCTCGTTAAATAAAAGCTTATTTTTGATAAAATTTTGTAACAATTATTTAAACAACGGTTATTTTAAACAAATTCAAAATACAAAACGACTATTACTTGTTGGACAAGTTTTTTTGTAAACAAAATAATTAGCAATGGTTTCAATGAATGCAGTGCTCTTTAAACAAGTACACCATGGGGATTTCTCAGACTAAATGTAGAAATCAGCATCGCTTTTTGAACCTGTATTGGTATACATATATGCTCAAAAGGTTTAGTAAGAGTAGACGTAGAAAAAAATTTGAAAGATGAAAACTGAAAGAGAGCGCTACACTTTCAGAGCCCTTATTTTGAAAAAAAAAAAAAAAAAAAACTTGCACAAGAATCTGTTCTCTACTATGATTTGAGAGCTATACGAGTAGTCAAAGACAGAGTATGTTAAGTAGGTACAAATAAATTAAAGTATTTGTTCATTACTGCTGTCTAGTTCTGAAAGTATTTTGTAGATTTGTATTATTTACTGTAGGAAAATTTTTTTTGCGTGTTATTGTCTGTATAAAATTTGTATTTAAAATTCAATGCAACCCCACATTGAATAAGAAAGTTTTTTTTTACCATATTTCATTGGCACAAATAAATTAAATCTAGCATAGAAAATGATAGTTTTTAATGCAAACTGGGTTATGATATTTAGGAATACATAAAATAATACAAGTGGGAGGATGTATTAAATATAGAACACGAAATTTTATTGAAAAATCTTTTGATGTATAAATTTTTTTTTACATCAGCTGCAGAATATACTAGTATTCGCTTCATTTGCTAGTCATTTCTTTCATAGCGATACATAAGCAAAACTTGTTATCGTAAGCTGCCTTGAAATATATTTACAGTAGGTGACTCGTTTTGATGATTGTCGGTATGAATAACGTCGAATGCAACTACGAGACGAAAAAAGATAAGAAGAAACTTACAACGCTGACAGCTAACGCTAAATACGTACACGAGAAAAAAAAGTTTTGTCAAATGCAACAGTGATCCTTTTCACGTAGGAACTAGATTTATGTAAAATACCATGTGTTTAACTAAGATTTTCGATGGATCTTTATTTAGCAGTCATTGATTTCAAAATGTAAATGCTTTGAACTTATCGTAAACGTAGGTGACAAAACTTCTTTTCCTTTTCTCGGGTTTCCACGGAACGTCAAATTCATATCTACAACGAGAAAAATCGTGTCAAAAAAAAAGTTCAGTAAACGTTGCCCGCGCATTTTACAGTAAGTCGTGAAAAACAAACGTGAGTATATAAACATATGTACACAAATTTCACACATCAGTAAAAATAATGTTGCTAAGTCTTACATTGAAAGACCAGCATCGGAGAAGAAAAATAGCCTTAAAGTAAATTTACAGGACAATGGTTTTGCATGAACAGTAAATGGCGAATAAAATAAAATAATCGCACAATATGATTAATCAGATCTTTTTCTCGATCAGCTGAAATGCTACACTCAATCCTTTTACACATATATACTTGCACGCATATATCACAGAAACTTTAGTTTTTTCATTTATTAATTTTTATATTTTGCGCAGCATAAAAATATGTCCTTTTATAGTACAATTACTATACACGATTTCTTGTTTGAAAAAGCCTTATTATCTGTGACGCCCATTTTATTCCATAAAATTAACAATTATTGATTCACACAATTTGCTTTGCGGAAAAAAATGTATTGATTTCTATGTACAATTGGATGCACCTTTATGTTTTCATCTTTTTTTATCTATTTACATAGTTATCTCTTTGTGTATCGAACAACTGACAAAAATATATATTAGCGTCAGTCGAGCACCGAACGATTTGGTATTGCCTATAATCGTGAATTTCCAGCTTGGAAAATAAATTGTCTTAAATTAGTCGTTTCTCTTACATTTTAGTCAAAGACTAGAATTATTTTATATTCGACATTGACAGTGGTTCTAGCTCTTTTTTAATTACATCGTACGGCATATTATATTGTACGAAACGACGTATAGTTACGCTATTGTCTGTAAAATCAATATTTAATGATTACTGATTTTTTTTTTTAATATTTACTTATCGATTTATAACATTCAACATAAACTGGTTCTTAAGGAAAGATCGTTTCTTGTGCACAACGCAATACTGTACAAAAATACAAATATTTCCAGCTGCACAATTGTGACATTTAAAGAGGAAAAATTCCTGCACACTTAAAGTTAAAAATGATCTATCATTTAAGTAGTTTTTTTTTTTTTTATAATAGCTGCCTTTCAAACTCGCAACAAACGACTAATAAAATTAACTTACCTCTACGCTGTAAAAAAAAAGGACGAATGTATACAAAAAAAAAACAAAGCCGTTTGTTTGTTTTATGACTGTACGAAAAACATAAAAAGTGGTGTTCCAATTTATTTCTTCGCTCCAGAGTTCGTAGTTGTTTGCGGCTTCTTTTTCGTCAAAGTACCCGAGCCCGTACCAATAACCTCTGATTGCTCGAATTTCTGCTGCAATGACGCTACGTTCGACTTGCCGGCCGGCACTTTTTGCGGCAAACCGGCCGCCGTTTTGGTCTCCTTCGTGGTCGTTTTCGCTGTATCAATCCTCTGCTCGGCGAAGCTAGCTGCCTTGGTAAGTAGATTCGACGGTTTCGGTGGCATTTTCACGCTCTTCTGGCGCGGCGTTGTCGTTGTGCGTGGTTTGCTGCTCAAGACGTCCGGCGTCTTTTGGGCAGTTTGATTGCAACTCGACACAATATCAGGACTATTACTGCTGTTGCTGCTCGTTTTTCCATCCTTGGACGCGTCGCTTTTTGAGCTCTTCAGACTGGAGTCTGAATTTTGCCGGCTGGTCGGCCTACTACCGCCACTTGTCATAACAAGTTCGTTGCTGTTTTGCCTTGGCGATTTCTGCCTACTTATACTGGGCGGAGTTTTCGTACGACTAAACGTTGGTTTGGTTGGTGGTGTCGTTGCTGTAGTCGTTTGTTGCGAATCATCCTTTTTCTTATCTGACACTTTGTCAACAATCGCTGGTTTAACTACTACTGGTGCGCTTTCGTGCGTGGCAGGAGTTTTAGCTATTGTCTCGGGTCGCTTGTCGTGGACATTGATGGCAGATGGGTGTACGTATCCCAAGCTCGTGGTCGAGCACACACTGCTCGGGGATTTGTAGTGCGGCGTTGAAACATCGGTATTGCTGCTGCTCAGAGAAAAAGCCTCCTCCGGCTTCTGGTGCTTGGGGCTCAGTTTGTCAGTCGAGTAGATAGAGTCAAAGTTTCTGTTCGAAATTTCCGAGACGATCTCACTGAGCAGACCCATCGAATCTGAGCCGGACGATGTTCTATTATCAACCTCGTCTGCGCCCGTGTTTGCCACGAACACCGGCCTTACAACTCTGGGCGTTTTGTACTCATTGTCCGTAGTTACAGCTGTCGGTCTCTTAAGCTTCTTCTCGGGCACAGCCTCCTCTATGACAGCGTATATGTTGTCGTTAGAGGGTGACTCCTCGACTATCTTTCCCAGATTGGCCGTTTCTCCCGAGGAGGTTAGGTTCATGCAATCTTCGTAAGTTTCCTTAGGCTTCCCCGCAAGCTTGAGCGCGGCCGGGTTTTGGTACCCTGGGACTCCTGGTATCTCGGTTGGCGAAACATCAAGCTTCGCTGGCGGTGGTCCCGGTGGTGGAGAGGTTGGCCTTACCCTGGCTGGTATGCTGGTCGGCCTCTTGCCGTTCGGATGCCTCATCGACCCGAACGAGTGTATAGTCGGCCTGGAACGCTGCTCCTTGCTGGTGTCGCGCATCGACTGGGTGCGCGCAACTTTTCGCGATGGCAAAGTGGCCTCGGTGTCACCGTTGGGTTCGGGCTTGACCGGTATCGCTGGTACGGGTATCTCGATCTCGCGCTGCGGTATGGGAGCTGAGATCTTGAGGCTGCGTAAGATTTCTTTGTCCATAACCTTGCTCGCCTTCAGATGGTGGCTCCTAGGCAGCGAGTTGGCGCTGTAACGCGAGGGTCCAGTCGTCGTGTCGCTTTTGCCACCTGGGTAGAGCATCGAGGCAATCCTGGTAAGGGTACTGTTGCTGCCGGCCGGCATCTTTTCGGCTGAGCCGCGCCGACGATCGTTTTCCACCGGTGTTTCAGGACTCGCACTTACCGGCCGTTCTGCCTGAAACTTGCATGGGACTTCAGGAGCCGGCCTCGTGGGCAGCTTTAGGTCCAAGTTCGTGCAGGTGGTGGCAGCGAGTACGGGACTGCTGATCAACGGCCGGGCCGTACTGCCGGCGTTCGGTGGTGGCAACATGGGTGGGTTCTCCGATGCCGGTTGTGGCTCCTCGGGGGCCGGTCTCTGGGGTAGGCTGTTGACACGCTGCGAAGCTGGCATACAGTTCGTTTTAATTGGCACGATAGAGGGCTCGTTCCACGAGGGCGGTGGTGGAGCTGGCCGCGTGATTGGTGCTTGAAGGGGTGCAGCTAGTTGCGCGGGATCAGCTGCAGGCACCGACCGTGACAGTGGCGTGATGCTGAAGCCCTTGAATTGACCGAAAAAATTGTTGTTGAATCGCTCGTCGGTGTCGCACTTGGGCAGTAGAGGGTCTTGGGCAGCGATGCTGGAATCTATGCTGTCGATTCCAAGAGGGCGTTGCCCACGCTCGATCGTTTTGATCGGTAGGCTGCCGTTGCCGGTTCGTGGGTGGTGATTGGTTGATGAATGATGGTGGTAGCCAAAATTGCGAGTCAACCTGCAAAGAGATATAGAGGCGATCGGTTAAGCGGTTGGAGGATGGTTGGTGAAGGGTGAGGTGCAAGCCACATTTACACACTGACACGTTTTCTATTACATGTACGAACGGCACTATAATTTCTGAACCTATTTTATAAATTGTATAGAACCAAAAAATGCGAATTGATGCTTGAACATTTCTAATGAAATCTCCTTTACATTTAACTTTAACGAATTTTAAAAAGATTTTGGGCTGTTGTTTGTTTCTTAAGGTACGTAATAATTTTATTTATTGAAGTAAGTTTTTGAAATTCAAATGTATTTGTTACTTTTATTCAATACCATGCGAAGAAAACGTTCAATTTAGAAACGTATATAGTTTACTAAAATTGTAAGTTTTGGTCGTACAAGAATTAACAAATTCAACCCCAATTGACATGCAAAACACGCATAGCTAGCATTTCAATAAAATAGTGCAGGTTTGTTTGTTAATGGAAAAAAAGTTAGTAGCAAGCCACAACAAAAACGTGTAAAGATACGATAATTTTTTAAAATTAGAATCAGTAATAAAGGTACATTGGAAAGAAACGAGACCAACACGAAAATTCAATTTTATGAATTGTTTTTTCATCACATTTATTGGAAAATAAAAAGAGAATGGAAAAACAAATTATACAAGGTAAAACTCTTTTTTTAGACGTTTTGGCGAGATATGCGCTCTTCAAACGCTTTGCTGTTACTAAACAATAGTTTCCAAAATATTGCGTACTTAAATTTTTTTTATTGAAACCTATAGTTGAGCACAATACTATTTGTCTAGCCATTACTTGTTACATATCATTCGATTCATTTATAAAATATTATTCTCAATCAGTTCATGCACATGTTAAATTGATAAATACATAATACTGGTTCTCACAAAAAACCAGTTCAACAAGGCAATAATAAGTGTAATCATTAATATAAAAAAATATAAAAAAATAACAAAGACTAAAAAAGATAAAATAAAAAAAAGTAAAGATGAAGAGCAGTCCTTAAGAGTTAATAAATACACTACTGTAAATGATTCGAAGAGAAGAACACACGTGCATGCAAAGAGAATGCTCTCTTTGATACAACACAAATTTAGCACAAACTACTCATGCACTTATAAAACTAATGTCATGCTCGCTTGCATGTTATCCTCTTATTATATATATATATATATATGATTTAGTTATTGTTGCATAAAGTTGTGTTTATGCGAGTTGTGTCGCCATTAATAAACTAGATTGTTTCTTTGATGTTTTACGCTATTAAAATTAGTGATCTACGATTATATATTACAACAGTATCTAGTCCACTAACATAGTTGTTTAACTAAAAGAGAAGAACTAGAGTTTAACTAAAAGAACAAATTATATAGAATATATAATAATTATGTAATAATGACTTAAAGCTTTTTGTTTTTTTAATGTAAATTAAAATACGTGCGTATGTATAACGTAAGTAGTTTGATCAATTCTTAATAATATGCGTATAAGTTAAGTCAGATCACAGACTGTTAGCACATTTGGCAAAGTAATAGCTTAAAATTTATATTTGAACGGTTGAAGTACTAAAATAACTTTTTTTTTTTTTTTTTCTTAGAGCAAATTTTTCTGTGATTTTATTCTCGTCTAAAACATTCAAATTTGAGGTACTCTGTGCGTATACTATTTAGTTAGTCATCTTCTCGTCTCTTTTATTTTGTTCGTTTTGTATAATCTCTATGAACCCCGACAAGTATTAACAACAGTACAGTCTTATATGAAATGTCAATTTTTTCATTTATCAACTATTTGTATCATTTAATAATGACTTTGTCACACCCATCTGTCTCGGCTGCAACGATAGTACCGAAAAAACACGTCCTTCACGATCAGATGGATCAACCATCTGAGAATACTCCACACATTTTCTCTTTTTATGGAAATCTAAACGACGATGTCGTGTACTTAGCGATTATTTGGTTCAAAGCGTCAAGGTAACGGTGGCGGAGGTGGCGGCTTATGGTAAAACGGAGCCGGCGGCTTAATCGGCATCGGACCGGCACCTCGTTGTAGCTGGCCGAACTCGCGGTTCTGCTGCTTCGACGAGAGTCCCTTGAAGTCGGCGGGCAGGGTACCATCATTCTGCAGCTGTGCCACGTACTCGGCCAGTTTAATGCCCAATTCGGTCTTCAAGGGACTCCGTCGTTTTGTGGGATCACGCGCTACATTGACGGTAGCGGCGCTGGCAACACCGGTAGTAAAATTGTTCGAGTTATCGCCCGAGCGCCGCCTGTATTCGATTTCACTGCTCTGGTTGATCACGTCGGGATTCGTCGTAGAGACAAGGTCGCGTTTGACTATGTGGACTTTGTCGCGGGGCAAGGTCCCGCTAATAGAATACACTGGTTTGGCAGTAGTCGCGGTGGTGGTGGTGGATTTTTTTGCTTTTTTGCAGCCCGGCATTAAACTACGGGGTGAAGAGTAGGAGAAGAAGAAGAGACTCTTTTTTCTCGGCCATCGAGACCGCAAGCAGTCGGCTTTGCTGTCGCATACGTACGTCGAAATCGGATTGCCGGGTCCGGTCTTTGTCCAGTGCTTCATGCCCTTGCTCTTGTGACGCGCGAGCCAGATCGCCACCCAGATCAGGGAGCAGACGGGCACGATGCCCAGGAAGGTGATGTACAGGAACATGATGTACTCGCTTCTTGCTGCAATGGGACATCAAAAGTTGCATTATTATTATTATTATTATTATTATTATTATTATTATTATTATTTATGTATTTTTTGGTAAACAACATAAATTGGCATGAACCATCAACGACTTATTTTGCCGATAAAAATTACCATTTGGATCTCCGGCAGGTCCACTGTCGACGGAACCACCGACCCCAGCCTCGGTGCAATCTGGTGGCAAATAGCCTTGATTGCAGTGGCAGTGGCCCAAACTGTTGCAAACCCCGTTCCCGTTGCAGTCGCTAGAGCAGGCTCTGTCGCTCTGGGACGTGACTCGTTGTAACTCCGAGACCGGCATGCACTTCTGGTTCACGCACATCTAAGGATACAATGTAAATGGTTTTCATTTTTAACAAAATGTTTATTTTTATGCATCATATTTGGGACGAAAAACACATTGAATCTCGATACTTTTGAGATTAAAACTTTATTTCGAGATATACTGTGGTAAAAAACATCTCCCATTCACCAATGTTTTTGATACGAAAATATCGAAAACCAATGATTTTCATCGTCTTCCTAGGGGACTCCTAATTTGGTCTTCCTAACCTTGCCATGGCCGCACTTTGCGCCATCTGGCGCGAGACCTGGATCAATCTGATTGAGCCCCAGATCGACGATTGCCGATCGGCAGGCTATGATCTTCCCTTCGCTGTTCAAGAACGAGTGGCTCAACGTTGCGATCGAATCCATGCCGAACTCGAGTTTCTCGTTCAGATGTTTGCAGTGCAGCATACCGCAGAAGACGTTCCTACATCACAGTGACCGTAAGTTATACAATAGCACAAGATAATATACAAAAATGATTGAAAAAAAAAACTCACTGTTCCTGGCACCTGACGTAATCGTTGGCCGACTGATTGAATCCACAATTTCCATGCGCAGTGCCCTTGCTGTTCATCTTGTAGCACATATCATCGGAACTCGATCCCGTCGGTCCCCAGAGCAGCTTACACTGGTCGCTGTGGGTCCTACAATTGCCCTGGTAACAATACGCCTGTCCGTGCTTGCAAGGCTCACCGGCCATTTTGAACACGTCGGCAGGACAGTACTCGCTCTGTCCGGTGCAGTACTCGGGCAAGTCGCACTCTTGGTCGGCAACTCGGCACTCGGTGCCGGCTCTTTTGGGCTTGCAGGTGGTTAGGTCGCAGCATTCGCCCGTCGCACAGCTCGCATTAGCGTGGAGCATGCAACTGCTCGCGTCGCAGCACGGATTGTCGCACTTTTCCGACAGCCCGCAGTCGCATTGTTCCCCCGGTTCAACGAAACCGTTTCCGCATATTGGGCTGCCGAACAAGCGTTTTGGCTTGTTTCGCAAACAGTAGTCCATGCCGTGCTCGAAGGCCACTGCGAGGTATTCCACCGAACAGGAGGACCAGTGCTTCGGGCCTGAGGAGCCGCTCGACGGTGACATTATACATCTGGAACAAAGACGAGGATTTTCTTTTTTCTTTTTTTTTTTTTTATCGTGGATGGGAAAGGTGCAGGCTGAGCTTAACCAATTTTACTCCACTTAAATGCTCAAAACGAGGGCAGCACCTGATATTCTCGCAGTGATTACTCGTTTGGAATGACAAAGGATTTCCAATTAACGACGGTGAAAGGGAGGGCAACCGTCTCGTATAGGTATCATATTTTGACGGATGGGAGCCTTACAGCGACAGAGCGTGATTCAAATCGGCTGTAGGATCAGTTTGGTGAAATTTCATCCATTATCGATTTCCGGGCTCAAGTAATTAACTCGATGGAGTTCTATTGCCAATCGAATGCGCGCCGGAGGAAAAATAATACAATCAGAAATCCAAGCGCACCGACAATTGGTTTTAATCAAAGTAAGGCTCGAGGCAGTTCAAGTGCAAGCTAAAAGCCCAGCATTTGACTGTACAAATTTTCAGTGATAATTACCTATTGGCTCGAGAAAAGTGTTTAATCATCGCCGTTGTCGTGATGGAGGATGAAAAAAAAAAAAAAAAAAAAATAGTAACAAAAGACCCGTACCTTTCTTCCTGACACTTGCAGTCCAAGGTATCGTGTTCCATGCCAAAGTTGTGGCCCATTTCGTGGGCTACTGTCGCTGCCACCAGAGCGACGATGTTCGAGTGATCGACAGAGACGCCGCCCGAGAACTTGTTCGTGCAAATCGGACCCTTCAGCGCTTTACCGACGACTCCGTCGTCGAATTTCATCCTCCTGTTTTACGATAGAAGCAAAAAAATTATGCATGAATTTCACGAGAAATGATATTTTCATGGAGCTCTCGATTCGAATTCAATTTTTATGAGGCACGGAGTGAATACTCTCGTCGAGAAAAAATTTATCATCGACAACGTTAAGTATCCTTTTTACAAAAATTTGTCAAGTGATTTTTTTTTTTTTTTTTCATTTTTTTTTAATAGTACATTTTTGGCCATTTACCGATACAAAACGCATAATTGATTTAATACGAGGAAACAAAAAAAATATTAGTTGCGATAGGTGATACTGAATTAAATGAACAAGGCAAGACTCACGTGAGCAATTGAGCGTTATCGTTGGGAATATTTTTGACGAGTTTCTCTCGGCGATATTGCAGAAAATTACTGAGGGTCGCATCGCCGTTGCTTCCGAGGTGTATCTCGTCGACTTCTCTCCACACTTCGACTCCGACGAGGGCGATGAAAATGTTCAGTGGCGCGTACAGCTGGAAAATACGGGAATTTTAGGTTTTGAGCATAAAATATTTTTTGTTTTGTTTTGTATGGATTGAGACGAATTATATTAACATGTGGCGTTACGAAAAAAAAAGTTTTAATTCGGAAAAACAATTAGCTGCTCAACGGTTTAGGGCAAAAAAAAAGTTTGTTTCAAATGTTTTAGTGTAACAAATAGATTTATCCTGAGAGTAAAAATAATATGATTTGTTAAGTTAATTTCATTAATAAATAAAATTACAATACTACTGCTAATACCTAATCGGAAAAAAGTTTTTCCGAATCATCTACTTGTTAATTTTTTTTATAACTTTTGAATTTAGTCATTTGGTCACGTCATTAATAAAACAATTGTATCTAAAAAGCGAATGAGTCATACACTTTTTGGAGCGTTTTATAATTTTCTAAAACTGGTTAGTTTTTTCATTACAAAAATTTTTTGCTGTAGTTTACTTCAGTTCAAGATCTATTGGAAAGAAAATGTAACTTGCAAAAAAATTTCACCAAAGTGTTTGAAAATAAGAGAGTTGTCAGAAGAATTGAAAAATGTCAATGTCTGAAATTAATTAAATACTGCTCCAGTTGAAGTTTTTCAATTTCAACAGAAATCAAGTGATGTTTAATGACTTGCTTCCATGTAATCGTAAAATCCATTTAATATTGGTAGAAAAAATAATTAAAAAATTTTTTAAAATTGTTATTTAAATTTTTTACATTGACCGCAATTTTTTTCATCTCTAACGACATAAAGACCGGTTCTAAGAATGTATGCAAAATTAAATTCATTTTCAAACCGTAAACTGTAAATGATAGGTACATTTTTATAATACTGTTCGTGCACTAATTTGAGAGCAGTTAATTTGACGTCAAAAATTTGAAAAGTTACCATTATCACCGTAAAATGGAAAAATAATTGTATAAATACAAAATTAAAGTTAAAAAAAAAAAAATAATAATACTAACGAAACAAGCAAAATGTTTGGGCCAATGACCTTACAACGTACAATGTTACAGTCTCAACCAACTCATGCGCAAGCTTCGCTCTCGTCTGCAAGAACCGAAATCGGACAGAAGACACTGCACGCAAGTGCAAGTATACATACACGCAGAGCAAAAAACTAAGTCGACGAACTCGTCAAGCCAAGTGCGTCCTTATATGTATTTACACACTGTGTCGTCGCAAAAAAAAAAAAAAAAAATCTCGCTCTCGAGGAAAAGAAGTTACTTACAGCATTGATGATGTTGGCGATGTCTTTGCAATGGTGGTAGACTCGGGTGAGATTTTCTCCTAAGGCCACGTACTCATTTTTGTCGATCACCAGAGCCAGTTCGACGTATCGCGATTGCCAGTTTGCGTTGTAGGGGCCGCGTATCTCCTCGACTGCTCGTTTCTTGCGCTGTTGGGATTTTTCATGAATTTATAGAAACGGTGTTCTGAATGGGATGCTCTTTTTTTGTGGGTAAAGAAAATGAATGAGAAATTTTTTTAAGTTTATGTGAATCCAAATTTGTTTACCCATTTGAAAAATGCATCAGATCAATAAAGGTATTATTATGAAGCGTTTCACGAGTTTTGTTGAATATTAAATTTTTAATAAAAAATTAATGTAGGAAAGATGTAAGATACGGAAAGTGAAACATCTTGGCACGCTTGAAGTTGTCTTAAGTTAACATAAATATTTTTTTTTACGTTAATCGTTTCAGATAAAAATTGTTGAGTTTACCCAAGCTGTTGCGTACTTTCCAATAAATTTTTTAATATTTGGGTGTCTGTACTTCACAAATTTTATTTTTTAAACATACATTGACTGAATTCTCTTTATTGTTGCTTAAAATAAAAATTTCAATTATAAAACCTGAATAAAGATTAAATCAATACGTGCGATCAGATGCACTTTGATTTCTTGTTTAAATATCATGAGATTTTTAACGATTTTAAAAAACAATTAAAATTTGGAAAATAATAGGCACCTTGTTTGTTCATAACCATGAGTCTTTGGCATGGGTACATTTTTCNATACATACATTTTATGCCGATTGATAGATATTAATAATCAGGGAATTTAAATATTTGTTATTTCTAATTTATATTGACCTTTATGCTTTACGAAGATTTTTGGTCATTTATAGGCAATGGCTTTTGCTAACATTTGTAAAACGTAAATACAAATGAATACATTCAAAATTACTCATCGACGAAATCTTTTTAACAATTAATGTATTTGAAACGTATTTGAATAAAAATTTAAAAATGGTAGCCACAAATAAAAAATAAACCACAGATGCAATTCAAAGGTATGACCAGCAAAAACATGAGTTAACTTGCCTACTCGGCTATCCCACAGTATGGCAGAGCTAGTATAGATGTTAAACATAAGCTGTAAAGCGGGCTTGGGTAAACCATACATATACGTACATCACATGGAAAAAAAAGTAGGAATAGGAGAACTGGGGTAAGAACTCCTTTCGTGCTATACTTTATAGTTGCACTGGAATATATATATAGCTTGCGAGTCTTTATAGTACTAAACTCTTATTTGAAGGAAACACTATCCCATCTGGCATTATTGCTGCAGTGGCGAAACTTCGAGATAGGGAGAGCACTGTGTGCTTAATTTATATTTTAGCATCCTTTCACTAGCTCAAAGTTCCACCTCTGGAGTGCTAAACTCAAAGCTGTGGCATCCTCATTTTTGATATTGTCCAGTCCATCCATCACCGAACTGTAATATCACAAACTTGAAAGTGAGCGCTTTAAGGTGGTTCCTCACGTAACTTACTTTAACTTTCCTTAAAACTTGGACAGTTCGTTATTAAAGATGTCAGAAATTTCTTTTCTAAATACTACACCCCTTTATCATGCAAATTTTTGAATACAAGTCCATTAAAAAATACATATATAACATGACCTCTCATGAAGGTTATTTAATCGTTCTTTGATAAGGGGTCGTACCCATATGCTGTGGACGATTTTTCGATTATTCAACCCCCCCCTTTTCCCGTGTAAGCTGTGTGTAAAGCAGAATTAAACAACCCCTTCCCATAGTTACGTTGACTTACTTTTTTTTACATTTTCAAAAAAAAATTTCATTCTAAAGTAATTGCTTTTAAAAAAGTCTTCTTGGCGTGATAGCAACAGCAAAGTGCAATTTTTATACTAAGAAAAAAAAAAACGAAACAGAAACGACGTTAGTTCGATGTCGTCGATTGAAGTTTCTTTGCTCGTTCGAGCGACCATTGTCTCACTTACCCTCGAGAATCCGTCGAGTTTATTGCTACCATCCACGGCGGCAAACTTCTCCGTGACTTTGCGCGGCGTTCCTTTGTAACCTGCAATAAAATTTAATTTAAAATTCGTTATTTCGACGCTTTCGTTCTTTTTAACTTCTACATCCAGGACGTCACGTTTGCCACTAAACAATAAACAATTCCGTGAATGTTTATAGGTGCATATACCGAGGGAAATAAACATTACAGTGCTGTCACTGTAAACTGGTGACATTCGGTCATGCAGGGACATTTTGACGATTCTGTGATTTTTACTTTTTTTTAAAAGAAATTCAGTTATCCCTATAAGTACCAACACCCATCGATTTCCCGTTGAAATCAAATGTGAAAAGACCTATTTGACTGAAAAACAAAAACACTTGGTGTGCAATCAAATGTGTGCATATATATTATAAGGATGAATAAGACAAACAAAGGTTATAATTCTCGCATTTTTCTTTCATTGCTCGCGAGTCCCTCACTGCAGCGAAGGCACTTATTCGACATAAATGTTTTGCTTTTCACTCTCGCGAGAGACTCGATGGAGAGAAAAGAAGCTCAACGAAGGGGAAGAAGACAGTACAGAAGATCCCGCTCTATTGCCAAAAAACACACCCCGACAAAGAGGTTTAAAAGAAAAAAAAAAAAAAGAGACCAAATCCCTCCCCCCACTCCACCTGATAAAAGAAGATACAGGCGGGGGGGCCGTTCAAAGAAAAAAAGGGGGGCGTCCGAAACTCCTGGCCAGCGGAGTTTCTTTCTTCGCCTTCGGGCTGTGGGCGAGTGTATGGCCGGATAAGATTAGTTCCGCAAAAAAGTAGGGAAGAGATACTTGCAGGCTGGATGGTCTGTGTATCCTCCTCCCCCCTCCTTTCTTTATCCTATTTTTCGAAAGCTTCTTCTTCTTTGAACTGTCACGAGGCGATGTAGGGGGTTTCGGGGGGATTGAATTTTTTAATTCGCGGGGCGGATGAGATTTACTTCTTTTGGCGGTTTGTATACGTTCTGGCACGCGTGTGTGGTCGATTTACAACTATGTGGCTATACAAAGGATATGCATGGGCGTGCTGTTTGCGCTCCGTGGGCTCTTTTATCGGGGCAAATGCTCGGTATTGCAAAGTGATGTTACGCACAAAGTTATTGTACACATGATTTTCGTTTTTGTACATTTAAGTATATAATGTATTTTGAAATGGCTATGGTGTTTCAAAATTACGGGACACGAGTCTCTGAAATTTCAGTATTACGTTGATAAAATACGCCCAATGTGTAATGATACTGGTGTTATTTATATCGTTTTTACAAAAAATTTCTACGAAAAAATCACAAATTTGATATTTATAACAATAATTAAATTTTTAGGAGTTTATTGCCTTTACTAACATAAAAGGTTGACGACGTCAATTTAAAAAAAAGCACGGAAAGTATAATTGTTTTTTACAACTGTACTGAAAAATGGGAAATTAAGTTTCGAAATATCCGTATTGATACCATAGCACTATTGATTGAATTTTAATGAAAAGAATGTATGCACAAGCATACTGCATGATGGATTAGTTATTAATTGAATCGCGAAACATCAGCTTGCTCCTTACAATACCGTCGGTGGAATCAGGTTGAATGGAAAACCCAATTATGCCACTGCTGAATTTGAAAAATGTCTCATCTCAAAACAAAATTAATTTTGCACATGAACAATATCATTTTTAATTTCATTTCTACAAAGCATACTATTTCGTGCCCAAGTCATTGTTATTTTTGACTTATAATTATAATATTTTATGACAAAAAATATGTAAAATCATAAAGAACAGGGAAAAACTATAAGGAGTCTTAACTTGATTAGTTTTTAATATGGTGCAACGCGCCCTGTAAGAACTAGCCCCTCAACATAGTGTTCATACTTAACATAAATTCCATAAAATAATATCGATAAACTTGATTGAAAAAGGAAAAAAAAAAAAAAAAAATTTAAACTAAATCTATACCGCAACTATATACAAAACTAAAATTTGTAAAGTAACAAATCATTTACATGAAATCAAAAATTTTACAAAGTCAATTTTTTACGTAATTTAACAATAATAAATTTAAATACATATATCTAGCCGCTGCATTGTCTGTCAGGAAATGTACTGTGATGAGCTTGTGCGGCACAATGTATAAATTGAATCAAGCGAAAAATATTTATCATAAAGCTTACTTTTTACACTAGTACAAACTTGTTCGAAAACTTGTTTGTTAATGTTTACCCCTGTTAAAACTAGCCCTTAGCTCCCCTACTTGTCACTTTATGAAATCCCATAACACCTAAAATTAGCACCCAATTGAGAAAAAAAAAAAAAAAAAAATTCCAAACAGCCCATTTCGAATAGCAGGTACAGTAAAAGGTCAAAGTTTCAATACCCAGAGTCGAGAGTACAGCAATGTGCTGCCGAGTAAACTTTCGCCATTATAACAAAGTCAATTGCCGCCCGACGATTTCCACGCTCGAGGTGCTGAGAAGAGAGAAAATAAGGGAACCCAGTTCGGCTGAATTCGTGTACCTACATGTATAAACGGCAGTACTCCAATTTGAAACGTCACATATTCATCGATCTTTCGTGAATGCGCCAACTTGAAACTACCCATTTCTATACGAATTGGAATTTCTCGTAAAAAAATCTATTAGGTTCGGCAAGTGGGTAATCAGAAAATGTGTATTGGATTGCAGTGGATGTAAAAAATTGATCAAAAATAAAGCTTATCACTTCCGAAATTCAACCTGCTCTATCTTGGTCATTTTTTGGTTTGAATGAAAAAAGAAAAATACGTTTACAAAAAAAAAAAAAAAATAATAATACTAACGAAACAAGCAAAANATAATAATTATAAATGCTTATAATTATAATATTTAAAAAATAAGCTTGAGCGACTATCAAACGGTACTTGGGCCGCACTTGGGTGACAATTGTGCAGCGGTATTTCGGCGGCATTTGGACAGCATGTTAGCAGCTATACTTGTAACAGCACTTGGGTGGTTGTTAAGCAGTACTTAAGTAGTGGTTCTTCGGCGGTACTTGGGTGGCACTCAGCAGCGGTACTTGGGCAGTAGTTTGGGGATATTTTAGTGGGACTTTAGCAGGACTTTGGCAGCACTTTAGAGTTACTTGGGCAGCATTTAAGCGGCGCTATTTCAGCAGCACTTACACATTAGTATTTGGGTGGCGAAACATGGGTGGCACTACAGCGGTACGTAGACGGCACTTACGCAACGGTACTTCGGCGGCACTTAGGCGGTACTTAGAAGGCACTTAAACAGTGGTACTTGGGTAGTATTTTGGTGGGACTTTGGTGGCACTAATGCAGTACTTGGGCGGCACTTAAGCAGTGGTACTTTATTGAAACTTAGGTGGCATTTGGGCAGCACTCTGGCGATACTTGGGTGGTACTTTGGTAGCATTAAGACAGTGGCACTTGGGTAGTACTTAATCAGCGCTTTGATGGCACTTGGGCGGTACTTGGGCAGCGGTACTTGGGAGGTACTTAGGTAGCACTTTAGCGGTACTTGAGCAGTACTTTGGCAGAATTTGAGCAGTGGCACTTGGGCAGCACTTCTTGGGTGGTACTTAATCGTACTTAAGCAGTGTTACTTGGGCGGTCCTTAGGTGACGCTTAAGCAGCGGTACTTTTGTGACACTTAAGCAGCGGTACTTTGGTGGCACTTGGACGGCACTTGGGCGGAACTTGGGTGGCACTTCTGTGGTACTTGGGTGGCACTTGGGCTGTACTTAAGTGGGACTTTGCCGTTACTCAGGCAGTACTCGGGTGGCATTAAAGCAGTGATACTTGGGCAGGACTTGGGTGGTTTTTGGGTGTCAATTAAGCAATGACACTAAGGTGATATGCCGACATTCTACTAAAGTACCGCTGCTTGAATGCCACCCAAGTACCGATCAAGTGTCGACAAAGTACCACCCAAGTGCCGTTGATCAAGTGCCTCGAAAATACTTCCCAAGTACCGCCTTCGTGGCGCCCAAGTACCACCGTAATACTGCTAAAATACCACCACGTATCTCGCAAAAGCCACTGCTTAAGTAGCGCCAAAGTACCGCCAAAGTACAGCCCAAGTGCCGCTGCTTAAGTGCCACCCAAGTACTGCTTCAGTACCGCCGAAGTACCGCCACCTAAATACTGCTGCATAAGTGCCACTACAATAGTGCTGCTTAAGAGCTTCACAAATAACCCTTAAGTCCTGCCAAATTTCCGCAAAAGTATCACCAAAGTATCGCCAAAGCACTGCCTAAGTACCACTGCTAAGTGCCATCCAAGTACCGGCGAAGTACCACTACTTAAGAACTGCCAAAGAACCACCCAAATGCGTTAAAGTCCTGCCTTCCAAGTACAGCTGCTTACATGCTGCCCAAATGCCACCGATGTATCGCTGCACAATTGTCACCCAAGTGCAGCAAAAGTACTCCCTGATACACGCAAAAAAAAATCAAGCAAGTATAGCATGAACACCATTTATACTATGAATTTCAAATGTTTACACTATAAGATAGGTCGAAGCGAGTACACTACGTAATGCTAGCTTACACAGTATGAGCATTATAAGCGTAGCGCGTGGAGCCCATGCGCAAAGTGCTTCGTGTGTACTCACACTGATTTTCGGTTAAAGCTATGCATGACAGAACTGACTCTTAAGAAACTCTACATGACTCATCACGTTGTTGGAAATCGTAAACAGTTGTAGCATGATTGAAAATTTATTATATACATCTAGAATCTATTCTTAAATTATTTTACGACAGCACAACTTTAAGAAAATGAAAACTACTATATCTAGAGAGGGAAGCAAGATGGATCAAAAATAATAATTTGTTAATTGATGAAATTTTTTGAAAACATATATATATATATNAGTGCCTTACGCCAGCCCGTTTTGTTGGGTTGTCTGCGCGGTCTCGGGACTGTACGCCTGCCGCTCGTCTCGCTGGGATGACCGTTGTGTATCAACAAATACATACATTACACACGAACATTATTCTTAAACTTGTTACTCAACGCCAGGGCAGTCTCCGTGGGTGGGACTGAGGGAGAGTGGCGACTCCCGGCCGGCCCGAGCAAGTAGCGGTCTTCTCTGGTGACAGAGAGGGCTGCTGCCCTGGTTTTAACCCTTTCCAAATACTTATTTCTAGAAAAAAAGGGTAGTGCTGGCCTTCGCGGGTCAGTACGACACTAAAAAGATGCTAAAATGAAAAACGTCGATGT